TTATTATTATTGATATTATCATTATTATCATTATCAATACTATCATTATTATATATTTTCTATTACTGTTATTACTATTATTTATATTATTGTTATTATTATTATGATTGTTATTATTATCACTTATTATTATTATCATTATTATCATTATCATTATTATTATTATTATCATTATTATTATTATTATTATTATTATTATTATTATTGTTATTATTATTGTTGTTGCTGCTGTTGTTATGATAATAATAATAGTAATAATAATAATAATAATTATTATTATTATTATTATTATCATTATTATTATTATTATTATTATTATTATTATTATCATTATTACTACCGTTTTTATCATCTTCATCAATATGATTTGTATTTTTATTATTTATCGTTATTACTATTATTGTCATTATTAGTATCGTTATTATTGTTATCATCATTTTAATTATTGTTATTATTATTATTATTATTATCGTTATTATTATTATTATTGTTATTACTTTTATTATCATTATTATTATTATTATCATTATTTTTGTTATTATTACGGTTATTATTCTTATTGATATTATTATTATTATTATTATTATCCTAATTATTATTATTATTATTATTATTGTAATTATTGTTATTATTATAATTATTATCATCATCACCATTATCATCATTACTATCATTATTAACATCGTTATTACCTTTATTACTTTACCATCGTAAATTTAACACTGATTATATATATCACCATTATTATTACCGCTATTGTTGATCTCAAAGTTAATTAACAATTGCCCTATACACTCGCTGTCATCATTAAATCATTAACTGGCACCTTTCGCAAATATCCGAGTTGCCAATTCGGATTATAGTCACTTCCCTGTGTAAATAATCGGCAATACATCATAACAGCGCGTGAAGTGGTGCGGACAAGTGTGATTTCCTTCTCTCTCTTTCTCTCCCTTCCTTCTTTCTTTCGTTTTCTTTGATTCATTGTCTCTTTCTTATTCTTTCTTTCTTTTTTTTCTTTCTTTCTCTCTGTCTCTCTCTCTCTGTCTCTCTCTCTCTCTCTCTCTCTCTCTCTCTCTCTCTCTCTCTCTCTCTCTCTCTCTCTCTCTCTCTCTCTCTCTCTCTCTCTCTCTCTCTCTCTCTCTCTATCTCCTCTCTATCTCTCTCTCTCTCTCTCTCTCTCTCTCTCTCTCTCTCTCTCTCTCTCTCTCTCTCTCTCTCTCTCTCTCTCTCTCTCTCTCTCTTTCTCTTTTCTTTCTCTCTTTCTCTCTTTCTCTCTTTCTCTCGCTCTCTTTTTTCTCTCTTTCTCTCGCTCTCTCTCTCGCTCTCTTTCTTTCTCTCCTTTCTCTTTTTCCACTTTCTCTCTCTCTCTCTCTCTCTCTCTCTCTCTCTCTCTCTCTCTCTCTCTCTCTCTCTCTCTCTCTCTCTCTCTCTCTCTCTCTCTCTCTCTTTCTCTCTTTCTCTCTTTCTCTCTTCTTCTTTCTTTCTTTCTTTCTCTCTTTCTCTCTCTCGCTCCCTCTCTCTCTCTCTCTCTCTCTCTCTCTCTCTCTCTCTCTCTCTCTCTCTCTCTCTCTCTCTCTCTCTCTCTCTCTCTCTCTCTCTCTCTCTCTCTTCTTTTTCTCTCATTCTCTCTCTCTCTCTCGCATATGTGCCGTGGATCATGTCCTTGGTAGCGCACGGCAAACAACAGTGTATTGATTACCACGGGGATGCGGCTAACCTGGGGACGGGAGGGAGGGGGGAGGGGGAGGGGGAGAGATGGGTGGGCGGTAGGGGTAGGGGTGGGAAGGGGGGGGGGGTGCGGGAGGAGACTGGAAGGGCGGGAGGAGGAGGGTAGGATGGAAGAGCGTGAGTGGGGAGGGAGGGAGGGAGGGAGGTGCGTGGGGAAGAGGGGGGGAGGGAGAGGGAGGGTAGTATGCACTGGAATATAACCGGGCGTTTTGTGCCTTTTTTTCCCCTCTCTCTCTCTCTCTCTCTCTCTCTCTCTCTCTCTCTCTCTCTCTCTCTCTCTCTCTCTCTCTCTCTCTCTCTCTCTCTCTCTCTCTTTTATAGCGATTTTGGGAAAGGAAAAGAAAGAGGAATACAACTGACCGCTTCTTCATTTTGAGTGATGGGCAGAACGAGAGAAAACAAGAATGAAAGAAAACGAAAAAGACAACAACGAATCTGTAAATAGAAGAACAACAAGAACAGTGATAAAATAGAATGAGTAAGATGAATGTAGAAAGAAATAAAAAGGATATGCACGTGTGTATTAGTGTGTGTTTGTGCTTATGTGTGTGTTTGTGTGTGTGTGTGTGTGTATGTGTGTGTTTATGTGTATGTGTGTGTACGTGTGTGTGTGTGTGTGTGTGTGTGTGTGTGTGTGTGTGTGTGTGTGTGTGTGTGTGTGTGTGTGTGTGTGTATGTATTAGTGTGTGTGTGTGTGCATGTGTGTGTTTGTGTGTGTGTGTGTTTGTGTGTGTGTGTGTGTGTGTGTGTATGTATTAGTGTGTGTTTATGTGTTTGTGTGTGTGTGTGTGTGTGTGTGTGTGCGTGCGTGTGTGTGTGGAAGGTAAAACAA